ATATATATAAAGTTGAAGTTAGAAGTCAGAATTAGTTATTTAAACTATTCTGTTTGGAAATGTGTTGAAAAAAATAACATAATTCTGACTTCAACTGTAGTTCATACAGTAGTCAGCATTTAAAGTGGATCAAAAAAGGTTTTCAAAATTGTCCCTAAACAAGAGTTGGTGTTTTAGGACAACTTTGATGAAAGGTTTCGATCTACTTTAATTATTGAAAACTGCATCTGCAAACAGCAATTACTTCATGTTTGTGACTTCAGTTTACTGACCATTTATTCATTCAATAAATTTCCTTCGGCTTAGTCCCTTATTTATGAGCCACCACAGCGGAACGAACTGCCAACTTTTAATGAACCCTTTCTCGTTTAATGAAAAATTATTAAAAAGTTTAATGAGCAACGTTATTCTAATCATTAATTGAGTCAATACCAATCATTTTTTTCTAGTTAGAAATAAATGTCAGAGAAAACATATAAAGAAATGTAATTTTAGAAATAAAGTAGTTTTAAATCCTTTTTAGAATTCAATACAATAAATAAATTAATATACTATTCAACTTGTTATTGACCCTCTTTAAATTTTAATTCTGTTTTCAATAAGCTGTTTGGAATTCATAATATTAACTGCAGATTGTTTTATCAAATGGACAGCCTTCGTGTTTGATAAAACTGCATATATTTTTTGTGAACAAATGATATCTTGTGCAGAGTAATTTTACACTCAGTTATACATAGTTTTCAACTGTCCCATGATTGCTTGGTCTGAATGTAAAAAACTGCTTGGATGTGTATCACTTTAAAAATCGACACACTAAGTCCTGAAATGATGTTTGATATGTAGACACGTCTTCATGGAAAAATGATTAGATAAGAGCGTTCCAGCATCAGTTCAGCCTCTAATACAAATTCCTTCATCTTTGAGCTGCTTGATTCTCACACTCTGCGCAGAGATAACTGACACTATGATAATAGATTTGAAAGAGGTGATAGAGTGTGCAACATACAAGAGATTTCGAGATTTAAAAAGTACAGCTTGTTTTTGATGACAGCGAATGTAAACCTGAGCTACATTTCATAAGCAGATGGGAAGTGAAAAGGAGATTATTTTTATATACTCTTATTAGATTTAGTCTATTGCTTTCATCTGACAGTGATCACAAAATCCATTGAGTTGTGTCTGTAACAAATATGAATCAAAGGCTTGCTGTTTTTTGTATCATGATTATTATTATTATTATAAGCTTTGTTATGATTTGTTCAGTTTACAGTTTCTTTTTTCAAGTTGAATTCATTCCAGCTGAAGGTAAACATGATTGTAATCGGTTGTTTCCAACACTAATAAATGCTTTTGTTGTTTCCTCCAAAACAAGAGTTTCTTTGACACACTCACACAGAAAATGCCTAGACTAAACAATGGAAAACAACTTGCATAAACAACACACACATTCACACCGTCCTCTTTATTACCTTTTGATCTCTCATTCTGTCTCTCTCTCTCTCTCACACACACACACAAAGGTTATTTAGGCTAGTTGTAAGACAAAACGTCAACTTCTGCAGTCTCTAACACACGCTCTTTCACACACACACAATTCTCGTGTCCAAGTTTTTGTAAGTGCAACATTTGAAGAGAGATACATTGCCCTATCAACTCTTATGAAATATTACATTTTTCCATCAGAAAAACAACCCCACAATAAACCCAAAAGCACAAAAAACCTACCGATCCTCGACCCGGCGTATTTCAAAGACAACATGAAACAAATTAACTGCAGATTCAAGTCATTTCGCGCATTCAAATAAGTGTTTGTTCTGAGACTTGCTCTAAATCTGGCTTTTGTAATGGAATATAAACCAGATGTATAATGTTCCATATGAACCGAGATGTTTTTTTAAGAGCAAAAGTGGAATGGTACAATAAACGGCTTTATCGACTCATTAAAGACAGCCTGTAGGTGTGAAAGAAGGTGTCCGTTATGACTCTATATTAAAAAAAACGCCTACCACATATCATTTCTCCTAAACCTCATGCCATTGCTAGTTTAAGCATTATCTGCATGTCTCTAGGGCAAGAAGCAGCGCTGGTTGCTATCATCACAAGCCATGATATTATGATGTGATAAGGTGCTAGTCTATGTAAAAAGAGTTAGAACCTTAATTTTGAACCTTGTTGTAAAATGATTGATGCGTACGCCGCCGTTTATCCCTTGAAAGCCCATGAGAATGCAATAACTACCTGCCCCGAAGCGTTTGCTTGCTTGTGTTACTCTTGGCAAAAGTGTCATGAGAACCATTGCCAGTAATTGCTGTTATTTCTTTTCATGTGTGTTGTTCTGATTTCCTGCTGGACTCTAGTGCCTTTAGGTGTGTGTATAGCTGAATAACTGTTGCTGTAGGAACGGATCATAACCACCTGACCCCTCAATTTCCATTTGATCTTGCTGATCGCCACCGGAAAAAAAAGTCATGTAGCAAGCAGCGGCGACCGGCTGGAACTGGAACAAACTGGCCAAAGTTAGTTTGGAGATCTTCCGAATCCAGCGGGAAACAGCATGGTCCGAACACATGAGCGGAGGTCGTCCACAATGTCCACACATAAATAAATGCATGTGTTTTATGTACAGTGTCTGTGCAGATGTCTGCTCCAACTGAAGTCCATAAAGTCAAGAAGAGATTATTCCAGCATCACTGAGCTAATGCACACACACACAAACGCACACACACGCTAACTCACTCGCTCACTCACTCAAGCACCTTTTATCAAAAAGGAGAAGAAAAGAAAACAACAACAAAAAAAGCTATTTGGCTTCTGTTTGTCTCGATGTGTTTAATGCGTTTGTGCTGGCGCTCGTGCAAAATCACTTCTGTCTCAATTTTCTGCTTCACAGAACAACCATTTCGGCCCTGCTTTCATGTGCGGCCACGATACGTTCAAATAAGAATCAGATGTAATTGGATTTTAACGCTTTATAAATTGTCCCCTCGTCAATAGAAAAGTCCAAAATGAGCTGATTTGGAGTATGAGGGATCGGTTTCTATTATAGACTTGTTTAAACTCATCAAATGAATATTGCTGTTCATCCCTGACGGCAATTACAAGATGATCCAGTGGTTTGTACGTCTCTCCGGCAACAGAGACACAGAGAGGGAAACAAACACTTTTCAAATTGGATTAAACGGTGCTTTTGTTTTATTTGTGTGAGGAGTAACCTGAACTCCTCAACGGTTTCATTTCAGTTCTCATCAAACCAAATCAGAGACGCTTTTAAATCTTTAACCTGCCAATTCACAGACAGGCCCTGTTTATACCTCATAATAAGATGCATTATACAGTTTACACCTGCTGATTTAATGTGTCTTTGTTGTCCACTTTCGACCACTCTTCTGAATTATTTGTGAAAGGGCCTGTGAGAGATGTAACAATGGGTTTTTTCTGATTTGTTTATCTAATATCGCAAAACAAGCGGGCCCAATTTACATATGGACTAGATGGATTCCAGTGCACTTGCAACCAGAAACCTGAAGTCTAAGGGTGCTTTCACACTTAGTTCAATTGCCTGGACCGAACCCAAGTTTGATTGTTCCTCTTTGCCACCCTCTCGGCTGGTTTGTGTTCACACCGTCTTTCTCCTTTTAAACCCCGGTATGCTTGCATCATCAAGCTGCTATTCTGTGTACAGCTGTTTCTAGATGATGGCCACGTAAGCAAAGTGGCAAAATGGAGACATACGCATATGACGGTCATTCTGCTTTTACTGAATCCTTTGCTTTTGTTACCCAAACCAAAATACAGAGAACCCCTTGCATCCATCTGCCATTAAAATACATTAAAAATGTTCAGAACATCATGCAATGTCTGTAAAAGTTGTTTTTAGTGGAGACAAGCAGACATTATCACTGTTTGCACCCGGTCAGTCTTGTTTGTTGCCAAGGTAGGTGATACACAGACACAACTAAACTTTGTTGTACAGTTGGTACAAGAAATGTCGTTATTTAGTATGATTGCATTTATATCAGACGGGAACTGTACCAGAGTTCGCACAAACCGTACCCCAGACCACCTCTTTCAGGTGGACTCGAGTACGGTTCGTGGATGCGTACCCGAGTTCAGAAGACAGCGTTCACACTAGCTAAACGTACCATACTCTGACATAAACATAAACAAATCCGGATGCATACCAAAAGTGCTAGTGTGAAAGCACCCTAACCTAAGACCCAAACAGGTGTGGCTACAAAACCTCAGCAAATGCCTAAGACATGGCATGTGTCAGTATTAGTGGCCTTTGTAGTCTTGTCTTTGATTTTTAAATGGAACCAGTAAGATACAAAAGTTTAAGGATGTAATGAGATTACAGTGATATTTTAGTTTTTTTTTTTTTTCATTTTAATTTTTTTCCTCTAAACAAAATAGAAAAAAATGTAATTGTGAAATATAATATCAAGGAACAAGTTGAAATTCTGAAAAGTCTTATTTTTTTTCTCAGAATTGTTAGATATTTGAGTAATTAGGTAAAAATGTAAAATAATGGCTATTTTATATCTCACAATTCTGATGTAAAAAGTCTGTGTTGTGTCAGAAAATCTGAACTGTAAGACATAGGACCAATCCCTGTTCTATTTTTGTAACCCTCCCCCTTCCCCTTGACCCTTAAAACCAAGTGTGAAAGGGAAGAGCTTCAAAATTTACCCCTAAGAAATGAACCAGTACGACAACACCTGCACACGTCATCATGTGTCATCGTCATCTCTTGCTTCATATGAGATTAGACGATGGCGACTGCTGTAGTTACTCCAGTTGTGTTATTTTTTAGTATTTATCTTCAGGAAATCACTGAAAGCAACAATATTATGTTATCATAACTATCTAATGTGGCACTAAGCTCGTAACTGTACTGTGTAATAATGACAAAAAAATATTAATTTGAGGATCTCCTTATTTCCGGGTGCAGCTTTGCAGCCGTTGTGGCTGGTGTATTCTGGGAAATTTTCTTGGTTTCGAGTGTGGTCCTGAAAAATCTCAGTTTGAATGGGCTATCTACCCCTTCCCCTTAGCCCTACGCCTTCAAGCTAAAGAGAATTAAGACATCCCTAACGCTTCACGGAAATGCACAAAATGAGTGGTAGGGGTAAGGGGAAGAGCTAAGGGGTAGAACTGGGATTGGGCCATAGACTTTATCCTTAAAATTATGAGTTTGTCTATAAGGTCTATCTTGGGTCAGCTTTTCTTTTTTTAAACCATACATGTTAAGTTTGGGAAAGTAGCGATTCAAGTCAGATACAGATTTTAGAATCCAGGTTTCCCTCTACACAGATTTGTTCATTAAAGCATTCACACTATGAAAGCAATCTAAACAAATTCGTTTTCAACTACCTCAAGAAGTGGTCAAAAGTGGAGAAGCTGACAACATTACAGATCCAATTTACACGTGCATTTCGATCCATCCACCTGTGGTCAGATTAATACAAGTTGTAAACTTGGCCAAAATGGAGTTATCAAGCCTTCAAACCAAAGGAAAGATTTTCTCCATCCACATGGCGCCACACAAACACATATAAACACACCAACACACACACATACACATCACACACTCAATCCACACTCTATTGTAACTGAAATGGCACAGTTCTCATTATGGTGTATTAGTATTGTCTGAGCGACATGCAAAGTGTGTCGCTGTTGTAAGACATGATATCCACTGTTGAATTGTGGGCTGGTGCTTGACACTCTGTAAGCTCCTGCAGCATCAAGTGTTCGCTTTATTTCCTCTTCCAATCTGAGTCTTAATACTCAAACTTATCGGCCCTGGACCTTTCATTCCCCCCTCCTCAAGGCCTCGTTGGTATGGTGGCATATCGGAGGTTGATGCTAGGATACAGAGAGGGCTATAAGGAGAAGTGAAGCCACTGTTAGGAGAAGCCGGTCTCTGGATGGACTGCTGCCGCTGATGCTCTTCTCCAGTTTGGGAACCTCGGGATTATCATAGTCATCTAGAAAGAGACACACACAAATAAAAATGACCAGACACCATTAGCTATTTTTTTTTATCCACAGTTGCACATTTATTTTATGTGCAAAATCTAAATATTCAATGAAACATTTGGTTTCCATCCCATGTGTTCAAGAGAATAAACATCATCACTGGATGGGAAACTAGAACTAAATAAATACATCATATTACTTAAAATTGATTACTCTTAATAAATAATAAAACTATTGTTTTATTGTTTTGCAAAATGAGAAATCTTGTAGCCATTTTTTTTAACAGTTAAAAAATTGGTACTCAGAGAGACAACCGACACAAACAGTAGCTATCCAAATATAACAATTAAAATTACAGATTAAAATAAGACTTTTGCACAAAACTGGTATATTGCATAAACCATTTGTGAATAAAACATTTCCGTTCCAATCACAAAGAACAAAATAGTCACTTCCTGATGAACTGCCACCAAATATCAAAAAACAACAATGGATTTTGCTGTGGTAGGAGAGCTCAATGTGGGTTTTTAATATAATAAATTATTGCGCCACAAAACACGAAACGCATTGAAAACGTGGAGGCTTTTGGAGGAGTGAGACCACTTGGGAGCACAGCCATTCAAGATTCTGGCTCATAATAATAATAATACCTAACTACTTTGATGATGCATTATGAGTAGGTCCACACAAAAATCTGCACACACAGAAATCTGCAGATTAACGCAGATTTTTAGCCCATCTTTATTTATTTGTGTAAATGCATGATATATTTGAAGAGTTCAGCAGCTAAAACCTCTAAATGCCATCTGAAATGTTCTTTTAAAATGAGCATTTCTCTCAGTTTTCTTTGCCTGAATGCTGTTATTTCACTTTAAAGGCAATGAAAATAACCTATTCATCACCACAACAGTGAAATATCTGAAAATACACAGTAAGAAAATAGAAACATGCTCATTTTAGAAGATTTCTGATGGCATTTAGAGGCTTTTGCATCTGAACTATTCACTTATTCAGTTTTTAATCACATTTCAATTATATCATTGCCTAATATGAAAATGTTTAAATGATGTATTTATAGTACAGTTTGTAAAGTATTTTTTTAGTCTTTTAATAGATATAATATGAAAGACTTGCTTTGTTTACTATATGAGTGGATCTAATTGGATTTGCACTGTAAAGATTAAATAAAAGTTTGAAAGTTTTTTTTTTATTATTTCATATATTAAGTTTTTAGTTACAATATTCCCAAAATATTTCCACATAAATATGCAGATTACAAAATTCTGTACGAAATAGCAAAAAAAGTCAGCACAGATTCTGTCTGGTAATCCCCTAATAATGGGATTTTAGGATGACCAAAACAATATTTCAGATTATGTGCAATGTGGTTGATCCACTGATTTGTCCTAATTAATGTCATCTTATCATGCCCATGATTTTTATGTGCATTTAAAAAAAAGAAGTATGCACATCTTTGTATTTCTATTAAGCATTTTTAATACATTTAAACATTTATTTCCCAAAGATAAAATGTTTATACTGCTCAGTAGGGCTGTGCGATTAATCGAAATTGAATCACAATTTGAAACATTGTGATTAGTTAAACGCAAGAGGCTGAAATATAAAATATATATTTATATATGTAAACAAAAAAAATGAATAACATCTGAGGTGAAGTGCTTCAAAACCAGTCCACCATGCCTTAAAAAATTAAACATGCTAGATTTTTTGCAATGGTGCTGTGAGAAGAAAAGCTGAATCTTGTGTCACGGCACCCATTTGCCGCTTATGAATCCCCACGACACCCTACATCAACACTGCAAAAAATGCTTTTCTTACTTAGATTTTATGTCTTGTTTCTAGTCCAAATATCTAAAAGTTCTTAAATCAATAGACTAGCAAAGCATATTGCTTGTTTTAAGAAATAATATGCCAAAATGAAGTGATTTTTTCCTTAAATCAAGCAAAATAATCTGCCAACGGGGTAAGCAAAATAATCTTGTTTTTCAATTTGTGATAAGATTATTTTGCTTACCCCGTTGGCAGATTTTTTTGCTTGATTTAAGGAAAGACTCAATTCATTTTGTCATATTATTTCTCAAAACAAGACAATATGTTTTTCTTGTCTAGAGAATGCTTTTTGTTTAAGAACTTTTAGATATTTGGACTAGAAACAAGACAAAAAATCTAAGTAAGAAAAGCATTTTTGTGTGAAGGAAATCGTGCCGAAATCATGTGATCTGACCGGGGTTTTATAACTAGCCAATTGAGTGAGCATATTTTCGTTCAGCACCAATCAGAATTGCACAACTAAACTACACCCACATTAAAAAAAGAAAACAAACCGGAAAGCGCTGACAAGTGGGAATATGGAGTCTGCTGCTTCAGAAGCATTAATAGACAAATTAATATCAAAGAAAAACAGCACATGGGTAATATGGGAATATTTTGGTTTCAAAGTCACAGACACCGAACAAAAACAGATAATTTTTAAGAGCAGTTGCAGAACTGTTGCCACGACATACAGATTATTGAGCTGATGCTTGAATTAAATAAAAATTAGCTTGAAGCTTGAATTAAATCAAATTGCAATCTCAATCTGTCAAAAAAAAATAAATTTAAAAAATCGCAATTAGGTATTTTCCCCAAATCACACATACTACTCGGTTGAACACATATGCATGTTAAGGATTTATGTGCATCTTGATATTTCCATTGAATGTTTTCTTTTATGTGATACTCCAAACTCCAAATCAAAATCAGTGAATGGCTAAAGTTGCGTGACTCACTGAGGTACAGAGAACGCTCTGACCAGCTGAGGCCTGCGGGAAGGATTTAAAAATAAAACACATGACTCAGGTTAGTATGTCCTGGAGGTGTCTGTGTTTGTAGACAGGCTTAATTGTCAGCACAACAGAAACTAAAATGTAACTATTATCAGCTAAAAAGAGGAGTGTCCGGTGTGCCCAAATGATCTGAGGAATCCTGTTACATCATCATTCGAGGAGACGGGCAACTAACTGAACCAGTTTATTGTTGTCTGCGACTGCGAGCAGGTGTCTTCCAGTTCGTGGATGCTGTGATAGACAAGTTCATAAACACAAGTCTTTCCTTACAGGTCACAAGGAACAGTGTGACGCAAATAGGCTGCCAACGAAACATCTCCTGACACGCACACGAGTGTGTCTGTGTGTTTTTGACAGAATAATATGATGTTACAACATGCAGACAAAAGATGAGACAGTTTTTCCAGACAGATCTGGGGTGATCATTTTCTTTTTATCACCTTTTAAGCAGACAGAATTACTTCAAAATATGTATTATAACAGTATATATCAATGAGTTTTAATGTTTTTTTTTTTCTAATTTGCAAAATAAATATCACAATTAGTGCTGGGCAAAGATTCATCACAATTAATTGAATGTAAAATAAAATATTTTTTTTTTATTTGTATTATTTGTATTAGCTTATTTTTAATTGTATCATATACTTAATATTTCAATAATTTATACATAATAAATACACAGTACATGAAAATATATTGTTAAAAACTTTTATGTTGTATGCAATTACTCGCAATTAATCTTTGCTCTTTAATAATAAAGTAAGCCCACACAAACACACACAGAGAAACACAGAGAATTAAGCAGATTTCCACACACATAAAGATTTGTTTAAATGTTTTTCAGTAGTTTTCATTTTCATGTTAGTGTAATATCCCAAAAGTTTTTTTTTAATCGTCCTGGCATGACACAGTTTGATTGACAGAAGTCTCTGTGTGCCAGGCAGGAGAGAGGAGTGTGTGGGCGTTTTGGAACATGTTGTTTACATGCTGGAATTCAGTATTACGTGCCAAAAGACTCAAGTTCTTGAATGTCTCTAAGCACGCTGGTTTTCCCGAGTCATTAGACTCAGTCAGCTGATCAATCCAACAAAGGTGTTTTTTTTTCTTTTGAAGAATGTATTACAGAGAAATTAGACGAGCTGTCCTATGAGTGACCTGAACGGGAAAACAAATCTTAGATTACGGTTCAAGATAATATTACAGTGACACTTTTCCATGAGGTTTAAACAGTATCATAAAATATAACAGGGCGAGGCAGTAGTGTTGTCGCCTCACAGCAAGAAGGTCGCTGGGTTGCTGGTTTAAACCTTGGCTCAGTTGGTGTTTCTGTGTGGAGTTTGCATGTACTCCTTGCCTTCGCGTGGGTTTCCTCTCCGGTGCTCCGGTTTCCCCCACAGTCCAAAGACATGCGGTACAGGTGAATTGGGTAGGCTAAATTGTCTGTAGTGTATGAGTGTGTGTGTGAATGTGTGTGTGGATGTTTCCCAGAGATGGGTTGCGACTGGAAGGGCATCCGCTGCGTAAAAACTTGCTGGATAAGTTGGCGGTTCATTCCGCTTTGGCGACCCTGGATTAATAAAGGGACTAAGCCAACAAGAAAATGAATGAATGAATGAATGAATAAAATATAACAATGAACAACAATTTTCTGATATTCGTTAATCAAGGTTAAAGAAATAAAGCTATTTTGAATAATTTTGTGAACTAGCAGCCAATGAATTGTGTATTTTTTTTTTTTTTTTGGGACACAATGGGTTTTCATCATTCTTTAAACATTTTTATTTGTGTTTAAAAAACCACTGAAGTTTTGGAACAATTTCAAGGTTAGTAAATGTTCTTATTTTGGTGAAATATTTTACTGTAAATTAATGTTAATTTCTACAACAGTATCAATATTCTAGTTTATCAAATCAGATACAGTAACTAGAAAAATTAAGTTACGAGAACAGGAACAAATACATTGCAGTATCTAGAAATAATGAGTTGGGGCAACTAGAAAACTTGAGTTGGGATAGCATGCAAAAAATCAGGTTATAAGAACGCGAAAAATAAGTTAAGCTAACTAGAAAAATTCAGTTGCAGTAGCTAGAAAAAAATGTTGGAATATTTCTGAAACGAAGGTTTGGGTAACTTGAAAAATTAAGTTAAGGTGATTGGACAAAAATTAAGTTAAGAGAACCAGAAAAATTACGTTGGGGAAACTACAAAAATAAAGTTATGAAAACTAGAAAAATTAAGTTACTGTGAACTTACTCGTAATGCTTTTCTTTACAATAATAGCTTAACACAATTATCAGTTTCTCTGGATTTACCTTTTTTTTTAATAATAATAAAATTATAAGAAATTTTCTTTTCTTTCTTGTCATTAAAAAAAAATATATTTATTTTATATTTCTTTCACAATCAATTTATTTTTAGACAACACAATACTAATGTTTTAATTTCAGTAATATAGACAATCAATATTTAGGGAAACATCCCTGAGTTTTAATCACAACAGATAAAAACATTTTACTCAAACAAACCTATCTCTGATAAATTTAGTAAATCCAGAGAAATTGAGAATTGTATAGTGGTCTCAAAGTATTGTTCGGTGTAAGTTTGGGATATTGATTTCATTAAGCAATGTTTTAACTATTGCTCAGTTGAAGCAGAAAATGCTTTGTTTTCATTATAAAAGCCCATAAAAAAGAATAGTATGAGCACAATGACACACACATCATTCTCTGTTATTCCCCAAAGGCCAAATAAAAGTTTCCTGTGTTTATTACTGCACCTGTATTCCAGATTGCTTGTTTGTGCCAATTGCCCTGTGATAATATAAAATGTGATGGTAGTAAAACTTACTGCCCTTAATGGAACAAACTGCTCCAACAGATTTATAGAATTGATTCTAAGAATCCTTCAAATGAGAATGCATCTTCATAATGACTTCAGAATAACTGACATGTACTTTAGAATATTTCTTAAATATTTAAAAACACTTGCACTTTACTGTGTGGCCATTTTGTGTTTATTTTTTCTTTTGTTTGTAAAAGTTCAGTGTCAGATGTGTTATTTATGCATAAATTAAACGATGCATGAAAAGAAAACATTCATAGAAATAGTTTGTTACTGCAAGGAAATTTTACAAATTATTATAACAAAATAGCTATTAATTATAAGAATATCATTATAATAAAATAACAGTATTAAAAGTTAAACTGAAATATTAGTGAACATTTAATGTTGAAATACAAAAAAAAACTTAATATTACATTACATCTTTTTTTCTGCCTTTAGTTGAAAAGAAATTAAAATTGCAATTTATTGTAAAAACACACAATTTTTTGGGAATTTACAAATAAACTTATTATAGACATAATTTTGAATTAAAAATCAATTTAATCAAAATCAAAAGTTTTTATTATTTGAAACCGGATCTGTTTCTCTGATGTTCAATATAATACTTTCTATCAGTTTAACAGAACATAAATGGCATTTATTGTGAAAAATAATAGTTATTGCAAATAAATTTAATGGCAAATCTTTATAATAGTTACAAGACCATATTCCTTTATCTGAACAGTTTTTATTTAAATAAATTAGTGCATATGTAGTTTTTCTGTAAATGTAAAAGCACTTTCAGTATTCTAAAGGTCAATGTTTGTTAAATGAGCTTTAATCAGTATATATAGTATATAGTTAGTATGATTAATTCTCCTACACTCTACACTAAGGGGACAGCAGTGGGTAGGACACTGGTGTTCCTTTGGTCTATAAGGCACAGAGGTATGGAGCTGTGAGTCCCGTCTGGCTTCCTGCGGTCGCTCTTTTCCCCTCTCCGACCCATCTGAAAACTCAATGCCGCTACTCACATTCCACTTTATTGGAAATCATTGTGTGGCACCGACCCAGAGACGACCCAAAACACATCCACATCCATCTGTTTCAAAACACAGGCTTGGAAAACAAAGAAACGAAAAAAAAAAAAAAAACATGAACAGATCGATGCTTCTTTATTCCTTAAAAACACTTGAAGTCAAATCAATTCCTCTCATTTAAATGGTGAACTCGTCGCTGTCCTTGAGTCAGGTTACAGTCACGGTAAGGAAGACTGGAAACCGGAGGGCTAGTTCTGCCACTGCTAATCAGCCCCAACACTATAGCCTCAGCGCTAATCATGCTAACTATAGACAGTCAAGCTCACGCTCCGTTTGCCTTTTAGCTCGTGGCTTCATTAGTGTCAGTCATTGCCTATATAAGATGTGTGTTAGCACATAACGGCTGTGTGTGTTTGCTTTACACCCGCATGCACAGAAAAAGATAATTAAAGCAGATCTCATCATCAGATTTTTATTACATTTAGGTTTGATTCTGTTCAAAATGAAAATTCTGCCATATTTTACTCACCTTCATGTTGAAAACGCAAAAGAAATGCAACCCAGGCTCATTGGGAATACATGCCAAGGGATATGGCTTTGTGAACCATGAAATACGACACTACGACAATGTTTTGTCAAACATTGTATTGACTAATACTCTAGAGGTCCCTGTGTACCTTTTTGTAAGTCTCAAATAAATTACTGGTCTACATTTTCTCATACGCACAATCTACATGTCCTTCTCATGTAAATAACCTCACGATTAACTCAAAAATAATACATTTACAAAATAAAATTCATACATCCACAACATCCAATTCGTAAATACAAAACACGATTTAAAAATACACAAATTTAATTCATAAATTTAAAATTCTATTCAAAAATTCACAATGTCGATTCATTCATTCTTTTTCTAGACGGCTTAGTCCCTTTCTTAATCTGGGGTCGCCACAGCGAAATGAACCGCCAACTTATCCAGCAACATTTTACGAAGCGGATGACCCAGCGACCTTCTTGCTGTGAGGCGACAGCACTACTTACTGCGCCACTGCTTTGCCACAATGCTAATTCATGAATTCAAAACACGATTAAAAAATTAACAAATCTAATTTGTAAATATAAAACATGATTTACAAATTCACAAATCCAATTCGTTAATTCAAAAGACGATTCAAAAAAACACATATCTAATTCGTAAAAACAAAAGACGATTCAAAAATTGACAAATCTAATTTGTAAATTCAAAACACGATTCAAAAATACACAAATCCAATTCATTAATTCAATACACGATTAAAAAATTAACAAATCCAATTTGTAAATTCCAAAGACGATTAAAAAATTCACAAATCTAATTCCTAAATTCAAAACACGATTCAAAAATTCACAAATCTTATCAGTAAATTTAAAACACGATTTAAAAATACACAAATCCAATTCGTAAAATCAAAACACGATCCAAAAATACTCAAATCTAATTCATAAATTCAAAACATGATTCATAAATACACATCCAATTGGTAAATTCAAAATACCATTAAAAAACAAAATAAATACATAAATGTGAACAGTTCACAAATACACAAATCCAATTCATTTGCCTAATTTTTTTTTATTTTTACTTGTCAATTCACAAATTCTTTGTTTAAAAATTTACAAATTAGATTTTGTAAATGTATATTGTGCAGTGCATGTATGAATTTTATTTTGTAAACAAACCAATAGTGTTTTTAAAAGCAAATAAGAAAAATGTATTGCGTCTACATTGTTTGACCTCGATTTCACTTTGCTTTTTTACCTGGTTTCTTAAAACATCCTTCGTCAAGCACCGTACTAGGTGAGCTACTGAGCAAACTGACTTCTGCAAAAAAGCCGCCCATACAGAGATAGACAGGCAAGGTCTTGAGTTTTTACACTTGTGATTTATAGGATCATGAACAATGAATTCGATCATTGATTAAGTGCTGGCATCCTTAATTTAACTATAAACATTGATCATCAAACAACGTTGACAGCGTTTGTCATACAAGCTCAAACATGCTTGCGTGACACGTGAGAACCAATGGGGTTCATTGATGCATGTCGTCTGACATATTTAAGCTTCTGAAAAAAACAATGCAGGTGTTCCTATTTTTGCTTGTGTATTTTTTATATCTGAATAAAAGCATACACCAAATCTGTGCATCTTATAATGGGATCTTGTCTTTACGGAAGAATGAATTTAACTATTCAATTGATAAGGATGTACTTTTTGATCTCTTTTTGAGAGTTTTGGTGAATCAACTTTCCTTGAACTTTGGCTTCATTAAAAATATCTTTATTGGTATTCTGAAGATGAATGAAAGTCTTATGTGTCTTGGAAAAGATGAGAAAATGATCACCAAATTTTCATTTTGCGGTTGGCTTATAACAATAAACGCTCTTACAAGTACACACATGATTTATGAGCAAGCATGCTGAGATGGCACAGAGATTTTGCGTGTAAATGTCAACTTGGTCAGTGATTTATCTGCATGTGTTTAAGTGTCAGTGTGGTCCGTCTGCTGTGTGTGTGTAACTCACCGAGGTCGTCGATTTTGATGTTAGGTCTCAGAGTGTAGTCTGGCTCTGTAGGCTGAGGCTCATCATCTGAATCAGACGCTGGAAGACATGAAAGGAGAATCAGAACACAGAGTCTCTCAAGGATCTTATACAGGCTCTTAGAGGACAGGTGAATTTATTTGTAAGCTCCTCCAGGTTATTTAGTAGTGCTGGGTGGTGGGTGTGTTGGTGTTCAGGCTACATTCAGTATAGAAATGGGTTGAGAAGAAAATGATTCATTGGTCTGCTAGTTGACCTGCTGTCCAACAACTTCTATGGGGTTTACTAGGGTATAGTGTGCTTACAGAAATTTGCAAACATTTTTTTTAGGGATATCAGTTCAATTTTCTTTTGTCTGTCATTTGTTTTCTGATAATGATTGTCTGTAAATCTGATGTAAAACAAATAAAAAGCAACACTTATTTTAGCTATTCATTGTAAAATCCAACACATTTGAATATAAAATATCTGCGTACAAAAAAATACTTTTCAGCATACACTTTTGCTTGGTTCCACACAATTGCTTCATGTTGTCCCAACACAAATCGATTAAATTTACTGTTTTTCACAAATTAATTAAAACTTCCCATTTTTTTTACAAATTTAGGTGGATTTATTAAAAAACAATTAGGCTGTCCCAATAACAACTTTAGAGTTGTGGTATTTCAAAATATTTTAAATAAATAATTGCACAAATAGCAAAAGTAAATTTTTGAGTGCAGAAAAAAACATTTTTTATAATGAATTATAAAATTTACTACAGAGAAAGGGTAAATTAAAAAAAAATAGTAATTTGTAGTGGAATTTCTATACAGAAATGGGAGAAAAAATATATTTAGAATTTTTAAATGTTCTATTGATTTAAAATGAAGTTTTTCATTGAAGATGCTTTTTTAAATATTCCGAAGAAAAAAAGCAGTTGTTATACAGGCAAACTTAAATAATCAATGTTTCTCTAATAAGAGCCAGAAAACATATATCAAGTCAGCTAAACAAACAACAATTCAATTTTTAGAATTACAAGCCCCCTGTATATTTTTCCTCAATTACTGTTTAATGGAATGAAACGTTTTTTTTTTAAACATTTCTATAACTAATTTCTAGTAATAACTAATTTCTTTTATCTTTGCCATGATGACAGTAAGTAATATTTTATAGATATTTTTCAAGACACTAATATTCAGCCTAAAGGACAGTTTAAAGACCTAAGTTGGTTTATTTGGTTAATTAGGCAAGTTAGCGTAACCAGACATATCATTGTTTAACGGTGGTTTGTTCTATAGTCAAAAGAAAAATGCTTTAGGTAGCTAATAATATTTAATATTGAAAAGATTAAAAAATGTTTTTATTTTAGCCACAATAAAACAAATAAGAGTTTCTCCAGTAGAAAAAAATATTATCGGAAATACTGTGAAAACTTCTTTGCTCTGTTAAACATCATTTGGGAAATATATAAAAAAAAAAAAATATATATATATATATATATATATGTACAATTTGTCAGAACAACGCATTGAAAAATCTAAATAAATGTTTTCAAAAACGTTATTATTATTATTATTATTATTACTATTATTATTATTATTATTATTATTATTATTATCATTAGATCTTTGCATTTTTGCATTGCATCAATTTAGCAAAAAGTAAAATCCCTCACTAAAATGTTACATGTGTATTTTTGTTGTTTTTTAAGATCAAGTTTAACATAAAATCCCAAAAATAGGCCTTTTATTTTTTTAACTCGTGTGTGTGTCTGTGATTGCATTTTCCATATACAGTATGTGTTTAAAAAAACAGTACATAAGCTAAAATGATACATGCAAACTCATAGTATTTCATAGACAAAAAAAGTACACCAATGACCTTTTATTTGCTTTAAGATCCTGTAGTAACACATTACTACCCAATGAGGCCGCAGAAGAAAATTTCTGATCGAAAAACAAGGTACCAACTGACATTGATAGGTCATATTAAGTGATGATGACAACCTAGTACATCCAGATTCCATTCATACATCGTCGTGAAATAGGTTCATAAATTGAAATGCAGTGCCTATTTAACCAGTGTGCGGTTTTTGGATGCACCTTTGGTCTTAAATGTCCCCCATCATTGAAAATGAATTCTCCCTAACCTATGGCATAATCTAACCTCATCATCTCATTAGTATGTAGTTTTCCTTATAAACACATCAGTCCTGCTTCAGCCCTTTGAACCGGAGGCTCTGGAGTTCAGACTCGACTGAGCGGGACTAACAGATTCATCTTGACACGAGAACTCGGAGACTCTGAGCAAGAGGGCAGAGGTTAAGACAGCACACAGTATGCTCTCTTCTGCCTCTCTCAGACATTGACTGAGCTAGGAGATTATTAATGAACATGAGCGCTGACAGAAAGAGAGGGTGAGGGGTTAAAATAACACTCAGTGCCAGCAAACTGACTGAGGGAGAACATGAATCCTGACAGCACCTGGAAACAAGACAGAAAGAGAGAGAGAGGAAATGACAGAGGAAGAGCGAGAGAATGGTTTATAGCGATTGTGTGGATTTTATACCTAAACAGTCTATAAGCCAAAGTGTACTCATCCGAATACACATCCTTTTAAAGTAAACTCCATACAGCGCTGTAGCCATTTAACTAGTCGATTACATCACAAAAAAATGTTTACAAAAACAGAGTGCAAATTCTAGTATGAAGTGTCAGTTTAAAGGGCTAGTCCACCCCCAAAAATGAAAATTATGCTTTATTCACCCTTGACTTGTTCCAAACCGATCTGAGTTTGTGTGTTCTGTTAAACACGCAAGAAGATATTCTGAAGAATGTGTATTTTTATATTCTAGTTAAGGCAAAGGCCAAAAAAATGTTCGTCCAGTAAAAAATTTCAGATAGTACGATAAAATTACGATAGGTAGCCCAAACTGTCTGTCAACAAATGTAGATTTGTGTATCTGCACACCCTGTGCACATAGACAGATATGTCATGCAAAGTGTTTTTTTACGAATGGGCTATATGCACAGAAGTGTAGTTCAGCCACTTAAAAACTTCAAACGAAAAATGTATGTGATTATTTTCAATTTTAAAAGGTATCTTTTACAGCATCAATGATGTAATTTAATTAAAATATAGTCAGCTGACAATAGACTCAAGCATTCAATAGTTGTTTAAGAGTAAAATGAGGTGAAAGGCTGTTTAAACACAAGTAAGCAGCAGTGAGTTAAAGTGTAGGATGTTGTCTTGGTAAGCGTAATGTAAAAAGTGATGTGGATGACAGGATATTTCTGTTTTTAGCACTCCTTTTTTTTTGTTATTCAGCTACCCCGCCGTCCTTTCAACAACTATGCTTAGGTTGGACAAAGTGCTTGAAAAAGTGCTAGATAATAGTTTTTCAAAAGGTTTTTAAGTTTGGAATTATAGTACTATAATGTTTGCTCACTGGTGAATGACATGACCTAGTGTTATAAAGTAGCCTATGGCCATCTATTTGGTGTGTGTTCACGTCTTCAGGAGGCTCTCGAGTAGCACTACAGCGTAACAGCCTTACACTAGTAAAATTAAAGCTAAATACAAAAATGACATGTAGCTGCCACAGAATGCTTAGTCAGAATATAATATATATATATATATATATATATATATATATATATATATATATATATATATATATATATATAAAAAAATTTCATTTTATTTTCAGCGAGTCATTTGTGAATGAATCTCCATTATGTCTCGTTAACTTAACAATATTAAGACAATATTACAAGTTTCTAGCACTGCAGCACCTTGTCATATTTCATTTACATTGTTTGCTTATTTTATTTAACAAAACTAGCATAAGCTTAGTATTTAGTGAGTCAGTCCTACTTATGGTCAGTGCAGTAAGTGACAGTATTATCATCAATACTTGTTTAGCACAAAAGTTCGTAACATACAAAAAACAAAATCTTATCTATGAAATGTTCTGCGTTTGTGCTTTGTTTTCTTTGTTTGCTCGCTACTACACCTGTACACAGTGCTAAAGTCCAGTCTTTAAAGTCCCCAAATTAGCTTTATGTTGACTAGTCCGGTTGAATGACATTTGACCTGAGAGCACTGTACAAATGTGGTGGTGTTATTGATGCATGCTCAGGGCCCGTATGCGATATCTAGTGTATATATCTATGTCCTCTGTATAGGTTCAGTAATTTTAGTTTGAACTAAAATAACTGTTCATAAAGCTAGGAGGATGAGAAAAAATTATAATTAAAAAAACGACAATATAAGTCATAAAAATGATAATGGAAGGCTGAGGAAAAAAATCTAAGAGGAAAATGCTAAGTTTAGATTACATTTTAAGATGGTCTCACAGCATCTGAACTTCTCAAATATTGGTGAAAATATGTGCATCTCTACAACAGGTATATTGAACGAGTAAAAAAAAATCTTAATTTCTGAAGCATTTAGATAATATAACCTGTAATTCAATTTTCTGCAATAACAACCTATTTAAATAACTATATCACAAAATATATGATTACCATGAAATAAAATGACTCATACCGTGAAATAAAATTGATTATACCCCCCTAAAATGCGGTCCTACAAACATTTTTAAATTTATAAAACTATTTGCTAATCCATAGCAGTGTGCATATACTTTAAAATCTATAATCTGCCACATATATTCACAGTATGTTCTGATGAGGGGGTTAAAACAGGGCAGGAAATAGCCTATTACTACTAAATTATGATGCGCTTGATTGTAAAAAAAAATCTTGATAACATTACAAGTGGATCTCAGAAAACTGTGCAAAAAGGCAGAAAAAAGGCACTCCATGACCCTTTTAAATAGATGCTTTCTTTATAATGAGACGAAGGGTTTTAGCTATGTTGGAAGATGCATAAATGAAAAAAATGACCTCTAATGTGGAAAACAATTTGGCAAATGTGATTTCTCATGTCATCAGACATGCCCCTCTTTAAAGTCTTTAATAAACACCTTTCCGACTCCAAACTTTTAAATGGCAGAGTAGGGCTTAACAAAAACAAAATTGGAAACTTTCCAAGTACATTCAGAGCGACACGTACACCTGGCTGAGAATCTCTGCAGTGCCAAACAACAACATTAAGACATGAAACCAAGAGGGGAAGGAGAACAGGAGAGTGTGCTTTCTGCGCAAACAGATTGATTTAATCCTCGGAAAGACGGAGAGTAGAGTTAAAGAAACACAGACTGAGTGCACTTCATAAATAGGCGGACGGCTGGATCAATTCACTGAAAAATAGGATGGCTGGTTGAAATGATGAGATGATGGATGGGAGTATGATGGAGTGATGGATGGATGGACAGATGGAGGGATAGAGGTCGATACCTGTTGAGCAGCAGACGTACACTCTTAATCTCAGGCAGCTCCGGCCGTGGTGATGAGTGGGTGTGGCTAAAGTAAAAAAAAAGAACAGCAAATGTCAATCATTTGTCACACATCACAAATACGGCTTATCTTCTAGGACTGTGATATTCTGCTATATGGTGCTTCTAGAAATAACAATAGGAGTGTCTAGTGTCTAAAAGGGAGCTTGTACTATTGTATTTTAAAATTAAAGTTCCTATCAATTAAGTAGTGCATAGTGTTAGCAAGGAGATACAGATGTATACAGATGTAGTAATTCATATTCAAACCATTCAAAAATAGGGAGTGTCATACAGGCGAATAATAAAATCAAACTACAAATAAATGACAAGAACAAAAAAGAGTTCACTAATTTCATAATAAATTAATTTCACAGTAATTAATTTTACCACAAATCCTATAAACATAGGAAAATATTTTAATACTTTTGATATTATTTTAATAATTTAACCGGTGCCCCTGCTTCCCCCACAGTCCAAAGACATGTGGTACAGGTAAATTGGGTAAGCTAAATTGTCTGTGGTGTATGATTGTAAATGAGTGTGTATGGATGTTTCCCAGAGAAGGGTTGCAGCTGGAAGGACATCCGCTGCGCAAAACATGTGCTGGAAAAGTTGGCGGTTTATTCCGCTTTGGCGTCCCCGGATTAATAAAGGGACTAAGCCAAAAAGAAAATGAATGACTACATAAATACATATTTTTAAATGCATATCTAATAATAATAATAATAATAATAATAATAATAATAATAATAAATACAAATTTCAACAAAAAAAATAGTAATACTTTTAATATAACTTTAATAATTCGATTTTACTTAAATTCATGTTTAAATAAATATTCAATAATAATAACCCTTCAATATATATATATATATATATATATATATATATATATATATATATATATATATATATATATATATATATATATATATATATATATACACTGAAAAAATTATTCAAAGATGATTCCTAAGATTTACACATTTTTTTACGTTAAGTGATTGTAAACAATTTAATTGTGTTGAATTTAAACAAACAAATTAAGTTGAACATTATTCAATTTAATTTGTTTGTTCAAATTCAACACAAATAAATTGTTTGCAACAGTTCTGCATGCAACACTTTTTTTCAGTGATATATATATATATATATATATATATATATATATATATATATATATATATATATATATATATATATATATATATATATATTCATTATAGTCAAATTAGACAAAAATATACACATCATTAGTGGAAGATTATACATAGAAATAATATTTTTGCATTATGAAACTCGGAAGCATATAACTGCTCATGATAATGTAGTGAACACAATAAAAAAAATCAGAAGCAGAAAATATTATTCTATTATTTTTATACAAATTTATCCTTTATAAGTTGACCTTCTTGAATGCAATAATTCACAATAGCTGTGATACAGTTTATTTGCAGCAGAGTGTATATACTCACAGATATAATAATACTCCTGGCCAACGTGAAACTCGTAGCCGAGCGAGAAGGCGCTGTAGCGCTGGAACTTCTCTGAGAATTTGATGGGAGCATGAGGGGCGTGAGGACGGTTACACTCCCAGCGCTTGAAGCCTAGCTGTGGATCACAGGTCCGGTAACCGCGATAACTGACCATGTAGAGCACATACTGTTCCGCGATGCCCCTCTGACTGCTGTTGTAGTGAGGACAGTAGATGTCCAGATAGTCGTTGACATTCACCTGCAACGTGTAGCCCTCCTTACGAAGTCTGATGACAGAGAAAAATACACAAACATTATTGTCATTATCATTATTATTATTATTGTTGTTGTTGTTGTTGTTATTATTTATTATTATTATTATTATTATTAAATAAGCTAAGAATAAATACACACCTTCACCTAACTACAGTAACTTGAAAATTAATACACAAATGTTTGACAGATGCATGACATATTAATAAAGTGTATTTCTGGTATCTCTGTAACAACTAGTCAACAATCTTCAAAGTTATCTGCAATTATTTTACTACAAATTATATACTAATTTTTTAAAGTGTAAACATTTAATGCAGTTTCTCATAAAATGGATCGGATAAAGTATAACTGGATTGTAATTTATTAATTCCCAATTAATAAATAAAATGTATAATTTATACACCTTTTATTAATAATTACAATTTTATTAATAAAAAATAAATAAAATTACATTCTTGCTTTCTTCAAAATATCTTATTTTGTTTTTAACAAAAGAAAGAAACTCATTAAGGTTTGAAACAACTTAATAGTGAATAAATTAAGACAGAATATTTTTTTTAGGTGAACTATACCTTTAATGACCACACTGTTAAAGTTTCTTGTAAATTACACAGTATTAAACTGTGATATGAACTGTATTTTACTGAAGCAGAGTTATGCAGTATGTTACTGTATTGTAAAGTTGCATTGTGAAAATTACAGTATATGCTACAGTAAAGATACAGTATACAGTACTGTAAATACATATAGCGCAAGATGTTAATGCTGTTAATTTAAAAACAGTATTTTGCTGTAAATTATTTTATAGTAAGTTACAGGCAAACTGTTGCCAGTTCTCTGCTGTAGTTTCTACAGGAAATTGTTAACCATGCATGTGATGTGACAGAAAACATGAATAAAGCTTAGAAGAATCACTCGCATCTTGCAACAGCCAAGCTTGAATGTAAAACAACAACTACACATGCCCCCACATTTTGAGGCAGTGAAGCATCTCTAATTTCAAAAGGCAAGAGGTCGGTTCAGCTGATTTCACAATCCTACAAAATGCAACACAAAAACGGCTCCCGTACAGACCCTGTGACTTCTTGTAAAGGAAATGAATCCAGTGATCCGAGCCATTCACTGTTTAGATTATTCATCTAGCTACAGTTAGAGTATAATGTTAAGAGGTGGTCAAGAGGGTATTTTGAAAATCATCATACACGAAACTCGCAAGGTTAAAAGGAGAACAAGTAAGTTTTCACATGATGATGGATGCATTTTCTTCATGTGGAGTTCTGGAGAATCAGAACAAGCTTGTAGCAGACATTTGCATTTGGAGGAAACTCCCTCGGGCCTGAGGGACTGACTGAAGGTGAGCGTGAAGGAGGAGAGACGACTGATGGCTGTGTTGGGACCCAAGTAATATATTGTTAAACCGCTCCAATGCACAGTTGTATTGTATAGAAGCCCATTTCCGCCACAGCACGAAAATAAATAAATAAATAAATAAAAAGTAATTGTGACTTTTTAGCTCTACTTTTTTCCCCTCACAACTCTTGTGGGGTTGAGTACGATCTCCCTCGACTGGAACATGTACTGGTGCATGGCAGGGTGATGACCTTGGTTGAGCCCAGAGACTAAACAACTACCCAAAACAACAGTCTAAATTTGCCCGATGCTAAAACACTGCTCAGTTTATGGTCCTGGATTTTACTCATGAGCTTTGTGCGCTCATTGCGTCTGTGTTGTTTTGTTTTTTCATTTGCACATCCTGTCATCCAAATGAAAACATACTGTAGGTCAATTAAGGACAAAGGCTTACTGGTGGATTGATTGCCAATGTAAGCTATGCTTGTTTCTGAGAATTTGTGAAAATCAACATAATTTTTTTGTCTGGACAAAAGCGTTTAAATAAATCGAACTAGAACATGCAGCTTTGAATTGCTAGATAAGTAAGTAAGCTCTTTCAATTCACTTCTGATTCATTTGCCTATGGGGAAATAACTAGGAATAGAAATTACTTGTAAACAGTCAAACTATTTGTTCTACAAACATATTTAATGACTAAAAATAATAAGAAATAATAATAATAATAATAAATAAATAATAATAAAAATATAATAAGACAATAAGAGAATACCAGTTTACAATATCAAGCGGCATAACAAGCTTTCTAATGGCTAAAAAAATCTATGGAAATGAGTGACACTAGAAATCTCCAAGCCGATAAAGTTCCAATGACTGGGCTCGCTCTTGTGTGAAGAATAAGGTCGATATCTAGCACTTCTGTTTATTTTTTTTTCTTCTCATAACTGTGAATTTATGTTTCAAAACTCTTGAGTTAGTGTCTAAGTTTGTAAACCAGTGTTGTTCTCACCAATGAGATGTGTCATTCATTCATTCATTTTCTTGTCGGCTTAGTCCCTTCATTAATCCGGGGTCGCCACAGCGGAATGAACCGCCAACTTATCCAGCAAGTTTTTACGCAGCGGATGCCCTTTCAACTGCAACCTATCTCTGGGATGGCATCCACACACACACTATGGACAATTTAGCCTACCCAATTCACCTGTACTGCACGTCTTTGGACTGGGGGGGAAACCGGAGCACCCAGAGGAAACCCACGCGAAGGCAGGGAGAACATGCACACGCCACACAGAAACGCCAACTGAGCCAAGGCTCGAACCAGCGACCCCGCGACCTTCTTGCTGTGAGGCGACAGCACTACATACTGCGCCACTGCTCCATTGAGATATGTGATAAATTTTAGTCTGTTTAGAAATACTTCCTTGTGAAAATGAATGGAACAAAAATAATGTAACGGCTTGAACCCCTTTTTGAATCAATGTAAAAATTAGTGTAAAAACTAAGTTCAGTTGGCAGCATTGACAGGGCACCATGAGTTAGTTTGAATTGAACCAAACCTCACAGTTGTAAAATGAAATATAAAATTTTTGCCCCCAGGAATTACCTTATTTCTCACAATTATGACTGTATTTAACTCAATACTGACATATTATCCTCTGATTTCAAAGTGTCAATCACAGTTTAAAGTGATGGTTTGAACAAAAATAGTAAATTCCTCATTATTTAGGCTACTCATGGTTAAGTGGTTCTAAACTCATTTTTTTTTTTTTTTTTTTTTTACTTCTGGTTAACTTAAAACACAATATTCTGAAGAATGCTGGAAAAAAACAGCCATTGACATCAATATAGAAACAAAATACACTGGAAGTCAAGATCTCCCCCCAACCCCCCAAAAAGTATACCTCCTGAAGCTCCTAGTATACCTCCTGTCCAATGGCATTTTTTAACTTGATTTATTATCAACTCGAAAACAGCAAATGCCAAATAGAGAGAAAAGCATTTGTCAAATGCCTTTTTAAAAAGCTATTTACAGTTTTTCTCAGTCGCTTTGGTGCATTTCTCACAACACTATTTACATTTGCACAACAGGTCATGCATTTCTCAAAACAATTAGTCATTGGTGCACATCCTAGTAGCAGTTTCTCATTCCTTTCAACAAATTGCAAATGCTTTCGAACATGCATCAATTGCTTTCATTCAACTCTCTGCTATTTATAACATTATCATCTGCTTATGTCATGTCAGTCAAAATGAACTAAACTTGTAAATGCTGAATAGTCATTCCATATAAAACTAACAGTCCTCATTTCATTACTTGAGTCATTACATACAAAAATGTTGAACTTGATGTCAAAATCGGTCAAGCAAACTTTATAAAAAAAAACTGTATTTTCCTAAAAATGTCTTTAAAATTGAACAATTTGATGAATGATTTACAGACCTGTGTATGTTGCAGGTTCAGTTCCGATATGTACTGCAATATTGTTTACAGTTGTGCACAGTTCAACCCAAAGGAAGCTTATGCTTGTTGTATATAAAGGTGTGTTTATTCTTTTGCACAATGCTGTGAATAAATTAGGATTGTAAAGAGCAAATGCAGAGTAAAATGTGAAACATACATATTCAGTGTCTTGTACTCAGATACCTCACTAAATGCAGTGATGTCCAACTTTACTGTAGTTTTCAAATGGCTGTGCAAATAGTATATAGCGCTGTCTGGAGCATTTTCAGCAAGTATCACCAAAATCTGACTTTTTTGCATTGAAAAAATGCACAGAGTAAACTGTCATAATGAAAACATGACTAAGCCATTTGACTATCTTGTTCATAAACAATGGTGTCAGGACTCTTCATTTTGATGATACTGACACTTTGATTGACATGAATACTTGCTTTTGAGGAATGAACTATCCATTTTGAGCATGTGACGCGCTTTTGCAGGTTATCAGTTTTGCAGCTTGCACTAATTGTTTTGAGAAATGCATTAACTGTTGTGCAGAAAGGCACTGGTGTTGTGAGAAATGCACCAAAGCGACTGAGAAAAATTTAAATTTAAATTATCTATAAATGTATGTTTTTATTGTTTGATTAACCAGCGTTTTAAAACATGTACAAAACTGTCTATTTATTTGTACAATTTGAGTTTTTTTAATGCATTTTATCACTTTATTAGATGACATTTAAAATCACAATTTAAATAAACACATTTAAATGTTTCTATTTATTGGTTCATTAATTGTCCATTTAAATTGTGATTTATTTATACACATTTTAATGATTCAATTATTAAATTGATCTATTGATTTATTTTATTTATAACCATCACTCCTGGTCCTCTTTAAGTGCTCAATAGAAGAAAGAAACTCAAAACAGATTGTAACAAGAGAATGAGCAAATGAAGACAGAATGTTCATTTGGGTGAACTAGCCCTTGAACAAAAATTTAGAATGAGGAAAAAAGTGAACTGTGAACTGTAAACCCAATTGTGTGACATAAACTCGCAAAAGTGTGTCAGAATTCATTTTGTAAGATAAAACATTTCAATTGCCTTTAAAAAAATATTTAAAAAAATATCTGTGGCAGAAATGTCGAACTTCCTGGGTCTCATCAGTCAATGAAAATCGCATAAAGCAATGTATAAGAACATCAAGAAGTGTGAACG